TTCTCTGGACAAAGGCTTCTCCTTTCCCAGAAAATGCTCTTAAAAATATGTTTTCCTCTTAAAATTTTCCAGTACCTTTTTAGTTCTTCTCATCCGCTATTTTCCCTTTACCTGCACCAGACAAATAGTCAAAATATCTCTCATCATAACTCTGACCACCTCTTTATGTGGAAGAACAGTTATTGTGTCCTGCTCATCGGGACAGGATGAATTTGTGGTACTGGTTATTCTGTTCACTTTCTCCTGCCTCTGTTTGCACTCCAATTTTATTTTTCTGCAGTGCAGTATATCTTGAACTGAAATTCATCCAATGCCAGCTTCCCTGCAAGGTACAAAATGCAGGAGAGCATCTGGGGGAGATTGTGAGGGTTTGTTGAATGCCCGTGTGGAAGAAGTGCCAACCACATTCTGCCATTGGCTGTGTTACACTATGGAGATGCCTTACAGCTTGTTTCTTATGTTTTTCCAAATTCAAAAAGGGGGGACTGTTAAGGTAAAACAAGACCCTCAGGGCTTAAAGAGGGCCTGCATATAATTCCGCTCAGAAGGGAAATTAAAAATGCAAAACTTTAGCTGTGCTAACAATTTTTTGGTATATTTTTTCTCCCATATGGGAAACTCCAGTCTGATTTCTTCTTTTTCTTTTGTTACTTTTCTGGCTTGAAGTAAAGCATGCCAGTAAGACATCTAAAAATCTAATTTAGGCTTCAATTTAATTCAGAGAACACGTGACCCCTCAAAAAAAATTCCATAATGACTAGTAATATAAATCCCTCCCCTCCCTGATATTGATATAACATAAAATGAAAGAATTAAAGTAAGACTCATAACTCATCTTACTTATTTAACCTTGGGAAAAGCAAAGGTGCCAAGTCAGTTTAGGTAACCAGTGTGTTTACATATTACTGTTAAGTCACTTTGAATCCTTTTCTTAATGCTAGATACTGCTGGATAAAATCTGCACCCCAAACCCAAACCCGTAAGTCATCTTTTCTGAATGAGGATTGATGGTTCTTTTCCATTCTTTGTAGTTAAAAATCTTCTAGTTGAGAAAAAAACAACTGTTAATAGGAATTTATAGATTTTGAAATTATTTTTTACACACACACATACATATAAGAGGTTTGGTACATTTACATATATAATAGAAAACTGTTAAGTTACTATACTACTAAACATGCTCAAATTTTGAGGAATCTCTTCCTCACCTGCTTGCCCTGTAGTCAGACACATGAACCAAAAATGCAATAAGCAATCACATATTTTACTTTGCAGTCCTTAGACTGACACTAAAAGAGTATCTCAGAATGGCTAAAAAAAGTTTTTAGAAAATAAATCCTCACATAGTCCACCCTGCACGCTTATATACTAGACTTTCCTTAATGCCAAAAACTTTCATTTGTAACTGATGCCCATAATAAGCAACAAGGCTCACAACTCAAGGGAAAAATATTTCTTTCTTCTTCCAACAGCATTATTTCAAGGATACTCTAAGGAAATTCATGTATGATACCTTGAACCAAACTAACTCTCCAGACCTGCTATCAATGTGCAAGTACACAAACATAACTTTTCTTCTTTCCAATTCCATATCACTTGAAATCAAGCTAAAATTGAAAAGAATTCATGTGTATCAAAATCTATGTGATGCGACATTTCACTTTCCTAATGTGAAATCCTACTATCAAGATCACAGTCATCCTATGGCTTAACAAATACTGACCAACACCTTGTCTATCCCATCATCATTTATTCTGACAAATTGTAGGTGTGGCTTAAGGTGTACAATTTGCACAGTTTGAGTCCACAAGGTATTTCCTTTAGTCAGTTTAATCATATAGGAGCACTCAAAGATTTTTTTTTATTAATAGCAAGCTCTCAGAGTAAATAATAGCAAGTATGATAAATGTGAATGTATGAGCTTTTGGATAGATACTGTCATCATCTACAGAGGCAACAAACCTGTCTCAACTAATCAATCATGAACAGATGATGCATACTATAGCTATAGCAATACACTTCCTCAAGTACATGAGCTATAGGAAGCCTCTTGTACTCGCCCCTCTCCTACAAATATAGAGATGTACTCAAAGACATGGCCTTTATCATTTTTCAGCTGAGAAAGAAAATGGCATTTGCTAACTTGCATCACAGTGAACTCACTGAGGACGTTCTAAATCTGTGTAGAAACTGCGTTGGTAAGATTTAACAAGACTTTTACAGTTTTGCTTCTTTTGACTGTCAACATACAGGCTAAGTATATAGTTCCACTTTAGGGTTATTTTTTTCCCTTTCTTTTATAAATGGACTTACTGCATAAGCAGATAAACTATTTAATGAATTATTTTAGATGTTGACTTTTTTGGCATCAAGCAAATTGGAATTATGTTGTCAGCTGGAAGGGCAAAAGTTCACTTTTTAGTAAGATATGAAACAAGTTCTCTTTTCACAAGCACACTGAACATGAGCACCTCTTTACCTGTTCTGCACCATGCTCATAGCCATCCAGTCTGAAGGGTAAACATTCTTTCCAATGAGATCTTTGAACATTATGAATGTTTCCATCAAGAAGTCCTGGAAAACAAAACACAATAAAACTGTGCCTGCTAGCACAAAGTTTGTGTCTGGTATTTCAAGCACAGTGCACCCATGCAGTTTTAACCTTGAATTTCTAAGCAAGTCAGCTAAAAGTACATGAGGCTAGTGAGCTGAAATGTCATCATTTATTACCAAAATCTAGCAAGCAGCTCTCTGAAAAGATTGTACTTTGTCAAATTACTTAAAGAGAAAGAAGGGAACAATAGCTCTCCACAGCACAGAGAACAAATCTTTATCATCTTCATACATACACTTGTGCTCCTGAAAAAAATGACAAGTCAACAAACCAATGCTTCTATAAACAGAAAAAAAAACAAAAACCCAACCATGGTGTATTTTGTTGTTTTTGTTTAAATTTGCTCTGAAGAGCTGTTCAGGCAGATGAAGTATTACTGCACTTGATAGTTTTCACTAAAACTTCTATTATCTTCTATTATTATATTATCCAGGACCAAGTACCCAAATTCCTTGGAAGCTGAAATTATTTTGAAAATACTCATATGTTTTCAAATAAATTCAAGCACATGAAGAACTGCAAAAGCTACCCATGATTTCATCTGTCAGCATTTCAATTATAGCATAGCACTGACTGTACTAAAGAAAGTAAAGCAGACAAACCTTCCCAAGTAAAAATATTACTTCCATGTAGAAACTGTAGATTATGTAATGAAAACCTTACCCTATATCCAGCTTATTTTGGAGTTATGTCACAAGTACAGATAAGAGACAAAACCAGTGATTACTGATACAAATGAGAAAAAATACAGCAAATATTCTTCATTTATGCCAGGAACAACTGACGTAATACGCTGCATCAGAAGAAAAAGGCATTTAACTGCATTTAGGTGCAACATTATCTTGTCCAGTAGTGAAAAGTGGAAACTGATCACCATGTGCAAAATGGGAATGGAAGGTTTGAGTAGTTAAGGGTTGTTTTGTTGTTGATTTTCTGTTTTGTTTATGTATTTCAACATGTTTCTCCTCAAAACAGTACATAACAAAGATCCTCTTACTTAATTCTTGGTTTCTAAATTATCACCTAAAAGTCAGATGACCTCAATGAGATCACAGGTTTCAGACCACAGTATATTCTCCAAGGACACCAGCAGAAGAGGGAGGGAATAAAATGACCTAGAGGCAAAAAATTTGCAGAAACAGACTTCGTGCTAGGAAGAACCAGGCAAAATACTAAACAATGCTACCGATGATTCATAGCTTATAAAATACTGAAGTTATTTATCATATCCATGTTTATTTTATACTCACCACTAGTTCTGAACTCGTCTGAAAAGTTTCAATGTAAACTGAGTAATGCTGATCATTCATCTGGTTTAATATGGCTGTCATGCATGCAACAAAATGACTCTGAAAGAAAACAGAAAGCAATCAATAGAAAGGTAACAGATCTAGATTACTTTAGATATTGGATTGTAGTCTAGATCTGGACTGTTCCAAATGCCTAATAAATCTTTTTATGGATGTTAAAATAAAATCAAATGCAAACATTCACAAACTCAGATGAAAGAAACATACTGTGAAATCAGACTTCAAAAACTACCCTGGCAACAGCCATCTCTGGAGAAAAAAAGAGTGGCATCATTTATGAAAAAGTATTTGGAAGCACATAGTCTGAGCTATACTTATATATAAAGTGCAACTAAATATTACCCAAAGACTCCTAAAAAGCAGGTGATATTTCCTAGGATTCTACCATTAGGAATTCAGAGGAAGAAAAGAATACTGCAATAAAAATTTCTAATCATTGTAGAAATAAAGGCTATGGTATTTTACAGGAAGAAATACTGCAAGAAAGAATGAATTTTATAGGCACTGAAGTAACTATTACTGAACTCTAAATCTTGGTAGAATACTTTTTTTTCTCATAACTTCTCTCAAACTTCCTCACAAGTAAATGTTTTATTTCCCTCTATTTCTAAAGCCGAAACAATGCAATATATAAAATGATTCATAAGCCTGGGTTTTCACTGCCACTGACTGAGACTGACAAAGATACTTCTTATCTCTCAGTAATAGCATGCTTAATTATTGTTAGTTTTCCTTTAAGACAGTGAAGAATCCTCTTTACTGATACATTTTAATTTTCTTCATTACTGTTTTAGGAGTGAATCTGCTTAAATGCTTTGATTCTATTAAAATAAGAGAATCTGGAGGAAGTGAGCATGCAAAATAGTTTTCTAGATTGATTTCACTTTGATTCTTTTCATCATGCAGGCTTAGAAGTGTCAGAAGTGATTCCCCACAGTCCCTCTGTGCTCATTTGTCCTTCAGATCAGATTCTCTGTTGAACTCTGCTTCGCTTTACACTTCTGCTGTGTCAGAAAGTCAACAAATACATACGTTACCAAAGTACCAAACATGCAGACTGCTGTCCACAACCATTTTGTCTACTAAAGGGAAACCTCCTTTAACTTCAGGTTATGGCCACTAGAGGTCTTTTACTTTCATGTTAGCTGCTGTTCAGTTTGTACTGCCTTTTTTTTTATTTATTTATTCCTGCGTGAGCAGATCTAGTACACTTCTTGCATATAAACAGTGACAATTACAATATAAAAGACCTATTATAGCTTATTTTGGAGTAACATTAGAGCTAGTGAGAGGCTTATCTACTTTGTAAGACTAAGAAGACATTTCCTGTGGGTACACTCAAAGCTTTCAGGTAAGGTACCGTGTGTTCTCGGGTACTGATGCTTTTTTAAAAAGAAATGCTGATTTTCCTGCAGTAGAAGTTCACTTTAACAGTTGTGAATCAGAAAAATGTTTCCTGTGATGTTAAATTTGTAAGAGGAAATAATAATGAATTACAAAGGATGCAGTAATGAAACTGTTATTTTTTTCTTTCTGATGTCTTGATTTTGGAAAAAAAAACAAAAACAAAAAAACCTGGCAGAAGTTAGAGAATAATGTACATTTAATATAACCTTTATTTTTATTAAACATATGCCACAAAATGCTTTTCTATACTCATTAAACAATCATTTATTGAAATAAGTAGAATTTCTTTACAAGCCTTGAATAGATCCATTATGTTGCTTAAAGGCTTAAAGACATTAAGAAGGTTATTTTTTGTTGCTCTTGTAACCAACTTCTAAAATATGTCTAGCTATATCTGTTATTGTGCTACAGCACAAATGCCTAATCTTAATCATCATGTATTGTCATTTTATAATTAATAGATCATATATTTTGATTACTAAAAAAAGCCAGAAACAAAGATAGCACATTACTATACAGGTGCTTTGCCCCCACCTGTCAAATTCATATCAGTGTGACTTAATGCTACCTTATAAATAAAAAGGTGACAGCTAGTTTGCTACTAAAACTTATTCCATCATTTCCAGACATCTGTAAAGCACAAAAATATGCCAAATTAATCTCTAATATTTTTCTTGCCCACACTCTCAGCTATTAGAAATTAATTGCCTGCTCCTTCATAGGTTAAATGCATGCCCCTCCCCTTCTGAAGCTGAAACACCAGCAATAAACATTCACTTCTCAGATGCAGCCTCGAATAATTCAAGTATTCATGCTCTCTCAGCTTCACCATGAAAACAGCCTCATTTAGGAATATAGAGAGCTGTGATCAAGTCTGCAAATCTCTGTGCTCTTAAATTCTCCCATGCTGTTTAAGTACCTGCTATAAAATATGCAAAGAACATGAACTGCTTGAAAAAAGCTATTTTCAGTTCTGCACAGTAACTACCTATAACACTTTGAATGAAGACTGCAAGCTCACTAGATAGAAGAAATTTGGAAGCAAGCACAGCCTACAGAAACAATAGTCTAATGTTGAGGATTTAAAAGTTTATTTAATTAAATCACGTATTATGTGTAAGGACTGAATGGTTGAACAAAACAAGATGAAGTTCAAGCAGAAGCCTAGAAAGTCATTTCAGCTGTGTTTAGGATTTATCCAAGGAATTAAAGCAGAGAGGCTGCTTAAAACTAGGTCAAATGTGTAAAAAAAAAAAAAAAAGAGTATCGAGTAAACACTCTGTTGATGAGAGAATACTAAGAATAATAAGAAAAATTATCAGAAATGACACTGGAATATATTGTACTTCTTCAAAGTGATACAATAAGAAGGATGTTTTCCAATTTTGAAACATTCACACACATTTAGATATAAAAGAGTTCAGGAACAGAAGCAGCACTGAATTCTAATTTTGAATTAATAAATTGGTTGATATGCTTTCAAAAAGCATAAAAAACATTAAAGAAAACATATGAGTAAAGAAATAGATCAGAAAATAAATAACATTTCCAGCTGGAATGCAAAGTAAATGAGAAGTCAAATGAAAATAAGACACAGGAGAAAATGTCTCAGGAAATAATCAAATTTCCTGCCCACTGGAAAAAAAAGCAGCAGCAGCAGCATTATTATATCAAATTCATCAAATTTTAATGAATTACAATGCTGACTTGCTTTAATATAAGCACTGGAAAAGTTTAGCTAAAGTAACAGAAATTGGTTGTTAAGGTGAATTTGTGAATATTAGCTGTGGATGCAACATGCACAGAAGAAGTATCAGAAAAATATTAGGGTCATATGAGTAAGACAACAAACTTCAACACCTAGCAACTAAATCCCAGCATACTTTATAATAGCAAATGGTGACAGGTTGCCGTAGTAACTTCAGATAATACCAGCACCACAAGAATAAATACAGTAAATGCACAAGGAAAACAAACAGCAACAGAAACATGATAGAATGAAGCTCCCCTTCAGTACTAATGTAAGAGTATTTCAGTGGCTACTCAGAGTAATTTTTGTGTAGGTGGACTTCTGCAGTGATGAAGGAAGGCACTGATTTGACATACTGGAGTAATATTTACGCTTACCAACACTGAGCCACAGTGCAAAGACATAATCCTCATCATTAAAAAGCAAACAAAATGTAAACATGAATAATTTCTGATAATTCAAGCGCTTTTGATGGCCTAAGAATGCAATAATGAAATAGTAACAGCAGCTGCTCTGTAAGATTTAAATAAGTAGTAAGCTAGACAATCAGGGCAGCTCTGAAATTATTGCATTGGACTTTCTCAAACACATATAAAAGCACTGAGAAGTTTTATGGCATGACAGCAGCGTCATGTTTTTAGAACATACATCCTTCAGCATTTTGCTTTTACTCTTTTTAAAAAACATTTTGTTGATTTCCCAACAATATTCAAAAATAACATTAATTCCATACAGTTCTTTCACTGCAGCTGCAATTTGTTTCTGTAAATCCAACCCAGAATTTCTACAGTCCATAGCTAGAATAAAGACTGTAATTGATTCATCCTATGAGTATGTCTGTATTGAAAATACAGGGTTGTAAAATTTACTGCTTTTCCCAGACAGTATTCCACAAAAACATCTGAAACACATGCAAATACAAGCTGTCAAAGTATAAGATGAGCAATATTAAGTTTTTTTCACGTTCAGAAAAATATTTATTGTACTAAAGTTTGGTTGGCCATTTGCAGTTGGTAAAAGGACTGAAACAGATAAAGCAGTGCCTGTGCTGTGCAGAACCCAGTCCTCTAGAAATGTAACAGCAGGAAAAAACAAAGCAGTAACAAGGTATTTCCAATTGTACAGCACTACAAAATAAAGCACACAGTCTGCCATGGAGATCGACAACTAGGCCTAAAAGATATGGCTTGAATTAAGCAATTTATTCTTGCATGTACAAAAAGTTAAGCAAAGAAAGAGCAATAACATCTTTTATTTCTAAACTATGTACTTTAAATCTACACATTTTGAGAAGACAGATGTCTTAAACTGGTGATTCACTTCTTTAAAACAGAATAGAGCCAGCTCATCTGTTCCCAGAACTCAGCCACCCTTTAATTCATTTTGTTCCCTTTCAGCTGAACCGAACATAAGACAAGAACAGAAAAATTAAATTTAAAAGCTCAACTGCATAATCACTGATGATGCTACTACAATGTATTTTGGATGGTTAAAGTAAGGCTTTATCAGAAAAGTTACCCTTAACAATGATAGAAGCTTCAAAAACTTGCCTCTTGCTTTAAAATAATGTTACAGAGAAAATCAGGCTCAATGAAAATATCTCTCCAACACCTATGCATTATATTAACAAATCTAGAAACTTGCACATAATTACAATTAATAAATAGTAAATTGTTTAAGAAATGCACTAATACATATTATTGTCAATTAAATAAGGTGGGTTTTTTAACCATTACTATTTCAGTAACAGTACACATGTACTTGAGCTTCCCAAGGGCAACAATTTTTATCAAAAGTCCATGAGAATCACATCCAATCCTGAAGCCATTAATGGAAAGAGACTTGAAGTCTGTATAACAGCATACATTACTGGTGAAGAAAAAACCTCAGTTTTCCCAGGGTACACAAAACATTAGCAGTCACCAATATTTAGGTTTCTATTAGGCTGGGATTAAAAACAGCACTGCCTTTCCTGCTTGGAGTAATCCTTGTGGTAGATCACAGTCTGCCTTTGTAAAGTCTAGTGCTGTTTTGTCATTAGGTATAGCTAAACTAGCAAAAAAATCCACGCTACTCCTTTTCTTTTTTTTTTTTTTTTTTTTTTTTTTTAGCAGCTGAAACACGGAGATAAAGTCAAACTGCTGCAGTGAGGAGCCTGGTGCTATTCCTGATATTTATATGTATGGCATACAGTTTGGCAGCTCTAATTGTCATTTGTCCCTTTCCAAATTAAGAACATTGAACTGGTACTCTGTAACCAGTTTAACTTTGTAAAACTAGCAATAAAACCAGATTAGAAATTGAAAGAGGTATAATGCCGTTGTGTTTATTGTTTTTGATAAAGAAGGAACATTTGTCTCTATCTCCATATTTGTTACGCCTCTGATATTACCTGCATGTGTCTCCTGAACAGGTTTACAAGGATTTTTTTCTATGGTTGGTTGCTGCAATAAATAACGTGTGGGAACATCAGTACATATGTAACAAAACGTACCAAAGGAGGGCTATGATTTGAACTACTGCAACCTACACCTCCACTAGACACAATTCCAAATTAATACTATCATGTCCAGTATCAGTTTCAGAAGTAAACTACTGAAATTTGTCATGGTATATAGGATATAGAATTTACACCTGAAGCTATTTCTGAGGAAATAAAGTAATAATTTTAAATTAAAAAAAAAAAAAAAGCCTATAATTTTGTGAATATAACCTTGTTGCAGAGGCACTAATGTGATGTACTGCTTGTAAGGCATAAGGAGTAAAGGAAATAACTGCTATTAAATTACTGGCAATGCTATGACAGCCCCCAGGAAGACATCCCAGAGATACAAAATACAATAAAGATGTTCTTCATTCCTGAAACACCAAAGTAGGGCTGACCATATTACATTGTCAATATGCAGACTGCTCTTTTCTTTTCAAACTCAGTAACGATGCCACAGTCATGTGAAATACTCATTGCATAGGCTGTTCTGTACTGTCTTTAGAGGAGTCTTGGAGAGCACAGAGAAAGAGATTTTAAGACAGTTACTTAAAGTGATTAACTTACAGACTACTTTTTAGGGATTTGCCATCCTATGAGGAGCACGATTCTCAGTTTATTTGTAGACTTTACTAAGTATCTAAGTATGTATCTTCCTGTCTGTTTTGAAGTTTACTGCCTTCCCATGTGGAAAACTCATTTCAGACTA